GTGAGCCACGGGCTAGGAGGAGGGGTGCACGTCTGTGATCTGAACACTCTGGGGAGGCTGAGGCAGGAACATCGCTATGTTGAATCCCGCCTGGGCAGTTTAGTGAGTTAGTGGGAATGTGGCTCACAGGGAGAAGGCCCTGGTTCAGTCCCTGGTACTAGAAAGAAAAAAAATGGCTCCTCCTGGTCCCTGTGCACAGAGGCTGCCTCCCCGCCCCACCCCCACCCCCTGCCTCACACGACCCTGGCCAGACTCACCTGGGGTTCTGCTCCTGCCCAGTCAGGAAACGGCACAATGAGGAGCTCATTGGCTAATCCAGAGCCAGCTGCCCCTCCAGCAGGTGCCGTGGCTTAGTTGGTCCTGTCTGGCTCATTGAGACAGAGCCCAGGCATCGGCTTCTCCTGGCCCCTGGGAGGCCAGCCAGGCCTGGGCTCACTACTGGGCCAGGGTTTGGGGCTCACTTGTCCATCTCCCTGGGGTCCACAGTCTGCAAGTAGGAGCTGGGCAGTTTTCCCAAGCTCATTTCTCTCTGCTGAGTGTCTTCCCCCTGAAAGCAGCATTGGCTAAGAGAGGCCAGCAGAGGGTACCCTAAACTCCATGGCTGGGGGATCCCCTCTCCACAGGGACCTGGTTGTGGTGGGGGCATCTTCATGGGGTTCTCAGCCTTTGCTGTGTGTGTGAATATGGACAAGTGTTTTTGAATATTTATGTGTGCAAATGGGTATGAACATCCGTGTGGGAATATGTGTGTGTGTGTGTGTGTGCCTGCTCATGTTTCTGAGTGTGGGACAAGGGGTGTGTGTGTGTGTGTGTGTGTGTGTGTGTGTGTGTGCCCGGAAGGCATGGTGAGCAGGGCTGTTGCTGCTACCTGGGAATCAGCTCCAGGGTCAGTGGTGGGGGAGGCACTGGGGGGCCCAAGGCCAGGACAGGCTGTTCCTGGCTCGGGCCTCAGCACTGTGGGAACAGCGAAACATAGCCGCCAAGGGAGCCCACCCCCAGCTGTTGCCTCCCAAACACTGGCGGGGACAGGGAGGACACGCACCCCCACCCCCCGCCACAGCCCCATCAGACAAAGCTGGAAGGGCAGCAAGTGCTAGGTGCCCACCTGGGTCTTCTGGGCCCTGGAAGTTGGTCAGGATGTCAAGGGGGGAAGACGGATTGCTTGGCTCCCATGGGCCACCCTAGCCCAGGGCCCAGGGTGCGGCCACCTGGGAGATGGTGCTAGGTGCCTGGAGGCCGGGATAGGTACCACAAATCATGCATTCAGCACCCTCATGGGTCAGAAGCAGGGAGGATCACAGAGATACGGCGCTAACAGAGGACCCCACCGGTCATCTTGTGCGATCAGGGGTCTGTCCAGCCTGTTTTTCCACCTGCCCTGCTGGCAGCCTGTCTCCTCGGGCTCCTGCCAGGACAGGGAGTAGGACACAGGGGACCAGAGTGCCGGGATGGCCACCATGCTCCTGCCATGAGAGCACCTGCTCCGGGCAGAGTTGTGGCAAGAGAGAACTGACTGCCTTCAGCTCACACATAAGGACCAGGTCACATGTTCTGAGAAGGGCGACAGGCAGGGCGCTGGCCTAGTCCCCCTTCTCTGTGTCTGGAGTTGACACCAGTGGCCCCTTACGAGACGTCTCAGCTGCCCCAGGCTGCTGCCACCTCCCCACTTTCTTCCTACCCATTTGGTTTTCTCAACTCCAGCCTGAGCCTCACCCTTGTTGTATTTCCACAGCTCTGGCTTCCACCTCTAAGCCCTGTGGTGGGTGCGGTTCAAGTCCTGCCCCTGCCACATGTGCTGTGGAGGGCTCAGCTTCCACCCAGCTCAGCTTCTCCAGTCCCCGGTGCCCCTTCCTGGACCTGCTCCTGGGCTCCTCAGTGGCCAGCTGCCTCTGGACGTCCATAGGAAGTCCAACCGGAAATCCTTCCTGTCCAGCGGAATTACTGTTTTTCCCGTCTCTGGGAGATGTTGAAACACAGGCTGTGCCAGCTTTGAGCATGTTTTCTCAGAAAGGAAAACACGCAGGTGCTTGTGGTGACGCAGACCTCCAGAGTCAGGCAGTCAGTGGGTGACAGCATGCGCGCCTCAGGCACTGTGGCAGCGGGGACTTCATCTTGCCTGCCGGCCATAGGCAGAACCAGGAGCCCTCAGTGTGAGGCCTGGCTCCCCTGTGTGGCCTCTGCCTGAGCCGCAGACAGTGGGCGGGAGAGGTCACAGCCCCTGGGCAGTGCCAGGGTCAACCGCATCACCACATCCCTGCACTGTTTGATGTGTGCAGCTGAGGCAGGGCTGGTGGGAGCCCCTGGGACGGACCCGCTGGCTCAGAGAGATGGGGGCTCCCTAGCCTTGGCTCTGTACCCCGTGCCAGACAGCTGGTGCAGCCCCCACTCTCAGGGCTCTAACTCTAGCCAGCACTTATGGGCAATCTTCCTGTCTCTCTCCCCTCTGGTTACCTGCACTGGTGCCCTCCGGCTCCAGGGCCGCCTACTGCTTCCCATACCAAGGGCAGGAGCCCAGTGGCCAGAAACGGCTCGGTGGCTTCAAGATTCTCTCCCGGCCCAGCTCAGACAAGTGGTCCTGCTTCTGAAGTCGGGGTCTGAGCTCTTCCTGCTGTCCCTCAGCACCCCTGCCCTGCATGCCGGGCTCTGGACTCCCAGGACTCCTGTCCCCCGCTCTCTCTCTTTCTCCCCCATCCCAGGCTGCAGTCTGGAGATGAGAGTTTGCCCCAGACCCATTCCTTGGTCTGCACACAATTTAAATATTTAGGAAACTAGTTGCCAAAATGTAAAACATGGAAAATTTCATGTAGAAACTGGGATTTCCAGTTTCCTTGCGCCCTTCTCCACGTCCTGCTTAGTTGGCATTATTCCTTCTTTCATTTGCTTTGAGACTGGGACTCACTATGCAGCTCAGGCTGGCCTTGGACCTAAGCTGGCCTCCAACTTGCTGACACCCTCCTTCTTCGGTCTCCCAAGTGCTAGGATGACAAAGTGTGCCACCACACTGGGCTGGCAGCGATCTTTTCAGATGGCACCAATAGGCTGGAGCTGAGGACCACTGGAGCTGCCCGCCCGCCCGCTGGCCTCCTTGATGACATTGCCATCAACCCTACAGCTGGGGACAAGGGTCCCTGAAGATCCAGTGCTGTTAGGTGTGGATGCATCTTGCAAGGTCTGGGACTCTAATCCGCAGGCTGCACCCAGACATAACACGCAGCACCTCTGGGCGGGACCAAGGCTGCGGCCTTCTTTAGCCACTGCTGGTGACGCGGGCCCTGGCTGCACGGGCTTCGCAGCGGGTGTTTCTGGTATCTTGTTTTGTGGTTTCCAGGAGGAACAGGGCCCAGCCATGCTCAGGAGCCCCCATGTGTCCGGCCTACACATTTGTATCTGTTCTTGGTGTGATAAGCCCAAATCCTGGGCTCAGGCGAGAAGGCTGAGAGCAAGCAGCTACCGCAGGACCCGGGACTTCATCTTGAGACAGATTTCTGTTGTATATGGTCCCCACTACCTTGAGCTAGCCTGTGATCTGGTCTGCCGGCAGTCTCTCTGGTCTAAGGACTGCCTTGAGGAGAGCCAAACCCTAGAGAACATCCACTCAGGGGCACAGGGGCTGCGAGGAGCCCACAAGCTGTGTGGTGGCAAGGCAAGGACAAGATGACCAGGATGGCCCACATCCTGCCCAGGCTCTGCCCACCTCTGAGATACCTACCTTGGTGCTCTATGTAAACAAGGAAACCCAGGAGCCTCTGTTTGTTCCAAAGTCCTTTTAATATAGCATGAAAAGGCTATATTTCCAAAGGCAAGGCGTATACAGTCTCCAGGAATAAGGCACACACCGGAATGCCACCCCAAGGGCTGCTCTGCCGGAAGCCAGCGCTGTTTCCACACGCCCTCCCGGCGGGGCCCACGGGTTCTGTTTGTCTTTCAGCTGGGACACACACATACGGACATCACAGACACACAGGGTCACCACACGGCGGCGGAGGCGGTCCAGCAGCCAGCTGGAGCTGGTCACAACAGAGGTAATCCCAGCTGCCACCAGCCCCAGGGGCACTGGGTCCCCTCTGCGAAGGCTGGGAGGCCCCCACCCTTAGGCGTTAGTTGCTGCACTTGGCTACAATGTAGTGAGGTTGGATTAAATGTGTTTAGAATAGATTCAAGTCTATTAGATGCTGGAGGCAGGCGCGAGGGCTCTGCTTGATCCATCCCAAGTTCAAGAGCAGGGCCGGGAGGCTCAGCTGGAAGTCCCCAGTTGGGCCGGGAGCCCGGCTCCCCCTGCTCCACAGGCCTTGCTGGCCGGCCCAGTGGCTGGATCGTCACATGCTTTCTTTCTCCTCATCCCCTCCCAACCTTCCTCTACAAAATTAATAAAACTGTAGTAACAAGTTAATAAAAAGAAGGTGCAGGAACACAGTTACACGGTGGCATGGCTAGCCTCAGTAGAGGGGCTAGCTTTCCCTTTTTCGCTATATATCTAATAATAGCTCCCCTTGAAAAAAAAAAAAGAAGCAGTACTTTCCAAAATACACAATACACAGAAGTATAAATACAGGACAAGACCGTAAGTCTAAACACTTGAATAATACGCTGGCTACTTAATACTGATATTTTCATCTCAGGAAAACAATACAGAATAACAACAACATGGCTTAAAGAATTGTAGTTTTTTTCTCATCAGAATTATGTACCAACTTCATATAATATTCTATGTAGACAATATTTCCTTTTTAATGTAGCTCAATTGCATACTTTTTACAGACCAAAGCATAGTAAAAAACAAATTAAAAAAAAAAAAAAAAAAAAAAAAAAAATTATAACAAAAAATATTTTCTTGTAGGTCAATGAGGAGATTTGCAAAAATACTTCCACACACCTTTGTTTGATACTCTAGTGCCTTCCTAAAGGTTCTGAAGTTTCAGAGAATATCTCTCTCTTTTTGTAATCTCAAAAAAAAAAAAAAAAGCCATCCTATTTTTCTTTTCTTTTTGTTTTTCTTTAAAAAAAAAAAAAAAAAGGCCATCAAATATATACAAACAAAAGTCTCCGGGAAGATTTTGTGGGGGAGAAGCTACCAAATTCAGTGTTGTGAAAAAAAAAAAAAAAGTGGTAACCATGCAGAAATTTTAACATCTACGCATTTTTTTCCCTCAAAATACACACATAGTATTTTTGTTTTTTAAAAAAGGAATTCTGTGTCAAGTATAACTCAAAATAAATACAAATTCACAAGTAGAGCTATCGAATACTGCATCTGGGGTGAGCACCGGGGTCTCCCCACCAGGCCTCTATGTCTACGACTGTAGGCAACAGTCCCTTTTTGAATGCACCAGCACCACAGCTTTCTTGTCTCTGGGCTCCTAGACCCTCTGAGCACTACGTTCCCACGGTACACAGCCCAGACCGCGGTGTCTTCTACCGGTCACAGAGCGCCCCCCAACAGTGTAAGGGGGAAACAAGGTGTCCCCCTCAGGCCCAGTGCCCGAGGTGGCTGCCTGCACAGATGGCTAGGCAAAGCCTGCCAGCTGGACCAGCCCGCTGTGAAAGTCACTTAGGGGTGACAGCCTATTTCCTATGGGCCTGGCCTGCTGTGGCCTGGAGCCTGGGTTTATTCTGCAGTTTCCCCGCCTTTGCAGCTCAGGTGCAGGCCCCAGCCATCCTGCGCCAAGGGTCCCCACGCTCTCTGCTTCTCCTCGAGCGGAGCTAAGCACACCGTCTTCCCCTGGGAGCATTCTCATTAGAAGCCCAGCAGGATGACTGCCATCTGCAGCTTTTTTCTGGGGACAGAAGCCTTGGGTCCAGGCCACTTGGGTCACCTCACCCCAGTGAAGTGCTGGGCTGGGGAGTCCCCAGTGGCAGTGCCTCAGCATGGGTGGTGCTGCTGCCAGCCTGCTGTGCGGGTGGGTGGCAACTGGACAGCCCTGCTGCAGCAAAGGCTCCTGGGCTTTAAGTGCTCAGAGGGGGGCCCCAAAAATCTACCCTGCAGCCCCCCGGCTGCAGGTCTCTCCTTCTCTACTACCTCACTCTCTGGACCTTTGGTGAGCACTTTACTGTAAATCCTCACTTGCACAAAGCATTTTCATTTGAAAACTAAAGGCGACCAGGCACCAGATGGGTGTCCTGGAGCCACGGTAAACACTGGATTTCAGGCCCATTTTGTGGTCTGATTTGTTTTTGTTTTGTTTTTCCCACAGAGGCACAATGCTGGGGCAAAATCAAGTGACCCAGTACTGGCAGCTGGTTCTGTCCCTGCCCCATGGGAAAAGAAGGACAACGGAATCAGGGCTTCTTGCTGGGGAGAAAGGAAGGCACACGCCTGCCACCAACCAGGACTGTGGCCTCCCTGACCATGTGATGTGCCACGAGGCCTCTCGGCTCCTCTGGGAGGTAGGAAGTCACTGTCCTCCGTCTCCACGTGACAGGTTCTGTGGCCTGTCTTGGGGAAGCCCCCAGGAGGGGAGAGGAGGGCAGGAGACTTCTTCTCCATGTTCTGACATGGGAGGGGGACAACAGGTTGGGCAGCTGCAGGAAGAATCTTCATCCCTCATCCTGGCTTCCTCCGTGGCCACTCTGGGAGCAGAAGTGTGGAGGAAGGGGTACCCGGGAGGTGTCTCCCACATCTAGGGGCCAGATATCCCCGAACAAAGTACTGTTCCAGGACAGACACCAGGCCAGTCTGCTCCTGGAACCTCAGAGCTCTCAGGGACGTCTGTTCTCTAGTGCCTTTCTCTCACCTGATGGGGAAACTGAGGCTGGCGATATGACAGCTCCCCAGATGGCACAGTGCATCACCAGGGAGGCAGGTCTGTGTTCTTTGAACTGAGGCTTGCAGCTGTGACAGTCCCCAGCGGGGGCAGGTGGCAACAGGGATGGGAAGGGAATGAAGCTAACGGGACCCAAACCAGTGGGGAGGTGTCAGGGGTGGCCACGGAAAAGAACCCCCGGCAAGCTCTAGGTCACACCCAAGAGCACGGCGCTAGGTGATGACAGATGGCTCAGTGCCACCTCCTGACCTCTGCTGCCTGGGCCTGGGGTGGGCCCGCTCCCAGATGCCACGCGGTGAGATCGAAGGGTGTCAGGAGTTGGGGATCCCTGTGGGCAGGGGACAGAGGTCCACTCCCCAGCAGCTGCGCACAGATGTCTGGGCACTGTGACTACTGACGAGACCAGGAGGCGGGCTTCTGAGAGTGGCTTTGCATGCATGGCAAACAAGATGGTTCTGAACAGGAGGAGGCCTGGCTGGCCTTGGGGACACGACCCCTCTGGGTCTTGGGATTCACAGTGAATTTGGTGCCCTTGTGGCCAATGCAGGCTGCTCACCCCAGAGGGCCTCCCAGGGGCGGGGGCCCTGGGACAGAGACTTCAGCAACACTGTCACCGTGCATATGCGAGGCCAGGGGACACACGGTGGCTCCTTGTGCGGTGTGGGGAGGTGGCGGGCGGCGTGGTCACTGCACGCGGCGGCAGTAGTAGCCCAGCACCTTGCACTTCTCGCAGAGGTGCTGCGGGTGCTCCTTGCTCTGGTCGGACACATCCAGGCCATCAGGCTTCTCAAGGGGCCTCTGCAGGGGACAGAGTGCAGGGAGTGACGCAGGAGCAGGGACAAGGAGGTTCAGAGTGACAGAGACAGAGAGGGACAGGCAGAGATGCAGAGAGACAAAGAGGAGAGGTACAGAGTCAGAGACACACAGAGGAGGGAGAGGTGAGAAGGAGAGACAGACACAGGGACACAGAGAGCAGCAGAGAGACAGACAGACACACGGAGGGTGGGGGGAGAGATACAGAGAGAGCGACGGCGCTCTAGTCACCCAGGTCCTGGGAGGCCTCCCCATAACTCTAGGCCTCCTGTCCCCCACCTCCTCCATGCAGCTCTGACCCAAAGGCACTGAGGCTCGGGATACAGCGCTTTGACCCCAGTGCCACCTGCGGCTCACAGGATCCGGGCAGGGTGGGATGGGCTTCAGAGACTTCTAGTTGAAGGCACTGAGTCTCTGGGTGAGGGAGGCCGCACCCACACCTGATCCCCAGCCTCTACCGCTTCTTTCCCCAGCCACTTGTCACTGCTCAGGCAGCCTCAGGTCACAGAGCATGGCTCGCCCGGACACTGTCACATGCAGCACTGGCTGCTCGGGGTGAGTGAGCCCTGAGCTCCTTGGAGTCCACAGCCAGGGTCTGGGTCCTCCCCATTCCAGGGCCTGCCCTGTTTGTCGGGTGATTGCTTAAGTAAGACGTCACTGCTTTCTAAGAGAGAAACTGAGGCCCAGTTTCCTGAGGCAGGTAAGAGCGCCTTTCTGACACACTGAGAACGTCTCTGCCCCCTCGACCCTTTCTGCCTGTTCTCTCAAGCCAGCAAATACTCACTGCAAACATCATGGAGGCTTCAGGAGCACTCCGAGCAGGCAGTGTTCCCTCTAGTCACAGGCTTGCCTGGACTCCCTCACGTAGAGGGTCCCTCACACAGGTGTGGGGACTCAGAGGAAGCTGGTCATAGCCAGTTGGGAGCCACAGGCCCAGGAGGGGGTCCAGGCCAGTGCGCGGCAGGGGACCCTCAGATGTCTATGACATTGCCCAGGTGGTTGGGGAGGCAGCTAAGGCAGCAGCGTGGCAAGTTCAAGCCCAGCCTGGGCAATTTTATCTCAGTGAGACTCTGTCTCAAAATAAAAGAAAAAAAATTTAAAGGTCTGGGATATGAGACATTCTCCAAAATAAAACCTGTACTAGCTCACGGAACAGGCCTAGGAAATGCAAAGAACTGAAATTATCCCATGCACTGCACCAGCCCATGGTGCCATGAAAGTGGAAATCAGGGGCAAAAGAAAACGCGAACATTTCACAAACACATGGAAATTGAATAGCACATTTCGGAACAACAGTGGGTCACAGATGAAATGAAGGAAGAAATTAGACCATTGCTGCGTTAAATGATGATGACAGCCCAACACACTAGAACTTATGGGACACAGTAAAGCAGTCCTAGGAGGGAAATTGATAGCGGTGAATACCCATATCAGGAAAATAGAGCAAGTCGAATAAACAACTTAAAGGTGCACCTCAAACTCCTAGGCAAAGAAGAGCAAGCTAAGCCAAAAGCTCATACAAGGGAGGAAGTTATAAAGATCAGAGCAGAAATTAATGTATTGGATGGAGACTAAGAAAACAATACAAAGAATCAATGAATTAAAGAGTTGGTTCTTTGAGAGATTAAATAAAACCGACAGGGCTGGAGAGATGGCTCAGTGGTCTAAAGCACCTACTTGAAACAAGCTTGGCAAAGCACAGGGACCGCGGTTCGATCCCCAGCACCACATGCCAGCCAGACCCACCCCCTGGTGGGCTGAGCTGGCCACACACACACACAATAAATAAATGTAATAAATAAAAATAAATAAATATTTAAAAAAAATAAATAAAAAATAAATAAATAAAACTGACAAACCCTTATCCAACCTTATCAAAAACAGGAAAGACTCAAATCGATGCCATTAGGAATAAAAAAGGTGAAATCACAACAGACACAAAACTCTGAAGAAATCCAGAATTATCATCTACACCTACTTCGAAAACTTATATTGTAAATAAGATGGAAAATGCAGAGGAAATGACAGATTCCTAATTACATATGAATTACCAAAGCTGAACCAAAATCTTAAATAAACCAATATCAATCAATGAAATCAAAGATATAATTAAAAACCTACCAACAAAGAAAAGCCCAGGCCCTGACGGTTCACTACTGAATTGTACAAGAAATTTAAAGAACACCTAATACCATTATTTCCAGAACTCCTTAATGAAATTGTAAAGGAAGCAGTACACCCAAACCCATTCCTATAAGCAAGCATTATTCTGATACAAAAACCAGAGAAGGACCCAATTAACAATGAAAACTACAGACCAATCTCCTTAACAAACATAGATGCAGAAATCCTCAATAAGATACTGGCAAACAGAATGTAGCAAATCATCAAGAACATTATACACCAGGACCAAGCGGAATTCATCCCAAGGATACAGGGATGGCTCAACACATGTAAATCAGCAAATGTAATACACCACGTTACCAGAGCCAAGTTAATTGGGGTCTGAGCCAAATGTCCTCAGTTGTGGCCTTGCTGCTTGAGAGAGGACAGCTTTCCAGGCTAATACAGGTTTCAGCAGGGACCGGTGACACATAGAGGTTCACTTACTAGACATCCACTGCCCATCTCCAGACAAGGGGCCCAGGCCTTAGACAGTCTCACAAGTAAACATGGAAGCCAACTGGTTAATACACATCCTTCTCAGAGCTGTTTCCTGGAGGTCTCCACCAGAAGACCCCAAAAACTCCACTAAAAAAATGCTAGATTTAATAAGAAAATTCAGTAGCATAGCTGGATACAAAGTTGGGGTTCAAAATCAGTAGCCTTCCTGTACACGAATCACAAACTCACTGTAGTGGGTGATGCACTGTGACAACTTGAGAAGTTAAAAGCTTAGCTGAAGCAGCTCAGCAATTCCACACCCCAGGGCATGGAGGCCCCTCCCTCGGGCATACAGGCCCCACCCTGGAGCGGCTCATCACTTAAAGGATATAAAGCAGAACTGAGGAAGGATGGAACATTCCGCTTCCTCGGAGGAACTGCATTCTTTGCAGTCAGTGTGGAAGGGAGAAAGAAGCTCCCTAGAAGTAGTAGCAGCTGTTCCTCCCTTGGTTCTTTGCTGTTTTCCACCACCAGGAACGGCTGCCCCCTGGCATGTGCCACTCTGCCTTAAAGCCAGCCAAGTATGAATTAAAACCTCCACTGACTGTGAGCTAAATAAACCTTTCCTTCCTTGATTTTGGGTGTCAGGTATTTTGTCCCAGCAACAAGTGAAAAGTAACCGAGACACTCACTAAGAGAGACATTAGGGAAATAGCACCTTTCACAACAGTATCTAAAAAATTAAATATCTAGGAATTCACCTAATTACAGATGAAAATGACCTCCACAGTGAAAACTACAGCACTCTGAAAAAGGAGATTGAAGAGGATATCAAAAAATAGAAATATTCCTCTTGCTCTTGGGTAGGAAGAACCAATAGAGTGAAAATGGCCATACTTCCAAATTGTTATACAGATTTAATACAATCCTGTTCAAAGTTACAACAGAGTATCTCACAGAATTAGAGAAAATATTCCTAAAATTCATTTGGTTGTCTTTGACTTTTTTGTTTGTTTGTTTGGCAAAACCGGGGATTGAACTCAGGCCCTTGTGCTTGCCAGGGAAGCACTTATTCCACTGAGCCATCTCCCTGGCCCCTTTAAAATTCATTTGGAACTAGAGGTAACCTAAAACAGCAAAGACAATACTGGGCAACAAAAGCAAGACAGAGATATCGCCATCCATGACTTGAAGTTATACTATAAAGCTACAGTGATAAAAAGAAAAATAAACAGTGGTACTAGCAAAAATACAGACCTGAAGATCAGTGGAACAGACTAGAAGACGCAGGAACAACTCTAGACATTCTTATCCACCTACCTTATCCTTAACAAAGGTGTCAAACACATTCACTGGAAGAAAGATTGCCTCTTTAATAAATGGCACTGGAAAGCCTCACTCTGCACATCCGATGACTAAGAGTAAACCCATATCACTCACCAAGCACTAAACTAAATTGAAATGAATCAGAGATCTAAACATTAATACAGAAATGGGAAACCCGCTAGAAGATAGAACAGGTAACACACCTGAAGACAATGGCGTAGGCAAAGACTTGATGAATCAAACTCCGATCACACAGGACCCATCACAAAGAATCAACCACGGCTCTCATCTTATTAAAAAGTTTTTGCACAGTGAGAGAAACCACCAAGAGAAGGAAGAGACAACCCACTGAGAAAAAATGTTTGCCAGCTATTGCTCAGACAAGAATAACTATGGAGCACATACAAAGAACTCAAACATATCAGACCTCCCAAATTTAAAGACCTAATCCAGAAATGGGGTGTCTGAGATGAATACACACTTCTCAGAAGAAGAAATACAAAGAGCAAATAAATATATGGAAGAATATTCAGCATCACTGGTCACTGGAGAGATGCAAATTAAAGCAACACTGAGATTCCACCTCACCCTAAAAAGAGCAACTTTACCAAGAAATCAACAAACGAGAACTGCTGAAGAGGCTATAGGGAAAAACAAATCCTTTTCTACTTTTGGTGGGAGGGCAGACTGGTGCAACCACTGTGGAGATCACTGTGGAGATTCATCAAAAAACTAGGATTGGAGGTCCCAATTGACCTAACTATTCCCCTTCTGGTATCTTCCCAGAAGAATTAAAAACCACAGTGACATATGTGCACCCGTATTTTACCAGCGCAGTTTGTAACGGCTAGATCTTGCAAACAATCCAAATGCCCAGCAACCGAGGAATGGGTAAAAAAGATGTGGTCATTTTATACAACGGGGTACCACTCAGACATAAAGAAGGGTGAACTGGAGGCTTTTATAGATAAATGGATGCAACTCAAGACACGTACTTATAAGTGAAATAAACCAGACACACATCTGCAAACATCATATTGCCTCTCTATTGTAAGAAGAGTAAATAGGATCTAAAACGTACGATTTGTAGAACAGGAAGAAACTGCTCAAGAGGAAAGAGAAACTGGTATGGGGAAAAGAGAAAAGAAGAAAGTCAAAAGTCAGTGTATATATCTAATTTTTAGTTCATTGAAAAGAAAGGTCTGTCCTAATATTGTTTGGACAATTAAATGTCTTCGTCTTATACTCTGAGTAATTAATTTAATGATAACAATGCACAACGTATTAAATATTGTTATCCTATTATCTGGTTTTGAAATTCTATTTTTTCCTCTTGAAAATAAAAAAATAATAATAATTGATAAGATGGCTGAGGTTGTAGGTCAGTGTGAAGGCTCTGGGTTCAATTCCTACTGCGCCATTTTTCTCCTGGCCCAACCCCTCAATGGTGACAACGACCAGAAAGAGCAACGCAGAGCAGAGTTCTGAGTGTTGCACGTGCTTATTGTTAGTGGGATGGACACAGGCTGGTTCAGGGTCTCTCGAGCTGAAGCCAGGTAGGAAGGCCTCAGCAGGTGATGGACCCTGCTGTCCCATGACTCCCAACATGACATAGGAAGGGACCTATGCGTCACCCCAGCCCCAGCTCTCTCTGCTGGCCAAGCACAGCCCAGCTCACTGTCCACGCTGTAAGGGCTTCTCCCCTTTGAGCTGGACTCAAGGTCCCTGTACTGTCCTGGATGCCCCAGCCACACAGACCCTGGGGCCCTCTGCTTGGTTCTTATAGGGCACCGGCCAGGGCAGCTCTGAAGGCGCCCTCCCATGACCACCCCTTGCCGGCTTCTGGCTCCCCTCCACCTCTGCCCACAGCTCTGCAGCCGGAGCCCCTTGCTCAGCCAGCCTGCTGGGAGATCTGGTAGGGTCCTTGTGGGAAGCAAAGAAGACTGCAAACTGGCTGCATGACGGCTGCACCTGTGTAATCTCAGCACCCTGGGAGGCTGAGGCAGGAAGATGGCAAGTTCTAGCCCAAACTGGGCAAGTTGGTGACTGAGGGAAACCTGTTCTCAAAATACAAAAAAAGAGCTGGGGTTGCAGCTGAGTGTAGTGCTTGGTGACCACACACACACACACACACACACACACACACACACACACACCTGTAAAGTCATCAGAAGGATGGGAACAGGTTCTAAGTGCAGGCTGTCATTAACACTGTGTATGACTGGCAGCGTTGTATGAGGTTAGGGCAGATTGGGTGGGTACCAAACTCAAGTCCCTGCAGAAATGGAAAAACCCTGATGTTGCCTATACAGATGCTCCTGCCCTCAGAGCCTTGGTCAGCTGAGTCTTTTCATCCTCAGCTGTGGCCTTGTGTCCTGGGGGTCTCTGTGTGGCCCTGGCCTGGCTTCTCAGCCTGCTGCCTGCGAGGAGCTGGTGGGGTGGGGGGAGTGGTGGGGAAGACGTCCCTCTGCAAGGGAAAGCACCGCAGGCAGCTGGGACTGATCAGCCGGACAGTCCCACCCCCTGCAGAGAGCCCGGGACCAGCAGTGTTTTCTTCTCAGGGGGGCGGGGCAGGCAGGGGGAGCCACAGCTGGAGCCTGACTGGAAACAGATGCAGCAGAGGCGGAGCGTGGGGAAGGGTAGCATCTCAGGGGATGCTGTGGCCCAGGTCAGCCCTGGAGAAACCCCGGAACCCCTCCCCAAATGCAGGGACCTGAAGGCTGGCGTTGGCAGAGCTGGCGGGTGACCTGCTCATGTTGTGTTCCATGGCCCTTCCCCACCTCCGTCTCCCCCATGCACACAGTAGGTGCTCAACAAATGCCAGCTGCTAGCTTGAGAGAGAGGAGAGCCACGTGCTCTTCTTGCAAGATGCTTCCAGACCAGGATCTCCAAGGCTCTGACCCTGGGGTGGAGGCTGGGCCAGGGCGGCTGAGGGGAGCACTCAGGGGCTGTGTAGGCAGATCCTGGACCCTAGGAGGCTAACCTTGAGACGACAGTGCAGGCCGGCCTGGCAAGCTGGAGGGGCCGCTGGAGGCTGGGGCCACTGCGGGGAGCTGAGTCCAGCAGGCCTGGGGTGCTGACTGGGCCCTGTCTCTCTGCCTAGGTCATGTCTGCACACGCTGAGCCCAGGGGACCTCACCCCGCCTGCCCCCCTGCCCCACTCGCTGCTCCAGGCCCTGGTCTGGCCCCTTGCATTCCCCATCACCCTGCAACCCAAACCTGGCTGCTCTTCACAAACCCCGATGTCTTTGCTCACACCGGGTGCCTCACTTTCCTCCTCCATGAAATGGAAAAACACAGAGGCCCAACTACATGGGGTGTCAGGGAGGGCGAAAGGGCTAATGTCCTAGAGGCTAAACAAAGGTGACTGAGCTGGGACAGAAAGACAGACAGACAGACAGACAGACAGACAGACAGACAGACAGACAGGCCTACACACACACACACACACACACACACACACACACACACACACACACACCAGCTTGCCTGGCCTGGGAGCTGGGTGCCCAGCTCAGCTATTTCCAAATAGTCGAAGGTGCCATCTCCCGCTTGAGGACCTTCGCACTAACGCAGAGGCACATGACCAGGGTACCTGTCCTAATGAAGCGCAGAGCCTGCTTACTTTCCAACTTCCACAGGTGCCCCTTGCCCAGGCGCTGATGACAGTCTTCCTAGGACTGCCACCCCCACTGTGACAGGTCCAGCTTCCCGCTTCCCATGTCAGGGCAAAGGTCACGCCCTCGGGGAGGCTTTTTCCACCCAGCAGTCCCAGACACCCCATCCCGCACAGAGCAACCTGCTGCCTCCAAGTCCCTGTGGGTCTTACCAAGGCTACCCCTTCATTTTAAAATACAACTGGGGTCTCTGTTCCCAGAATCTTGCTGCCCTTTTTCCCCTTCCTGTCCTCGGGAAATGAATTATTCCTCCCTGATCCCATTTCCAATGAGACAAGGGAAGAAAGGATCTACATGGAGAGAGGTCATCTCGGCTCAGTTGGGTGAAAGAATAAAAGAAGGCCGAATTGGAGAAGTCGCTCTACAGAGACTGCCCTTTCATGGCTGCCCCTTCCCGCCCCACTCCTTCCATCGCCCCGCCCACAGTGGCCCCGCCCATCACCATGGCCCCGCCCCGCCCCCAACCCAACCCGGGGCTCACCTGCTTGTGCGGGTACACATTGATGTGGCACTTGATGCACTCCTGCCCCATGTTGGCCCAGGAGTTCCCGCTCATCCATTTTCTCTTGCACTTGGGACACTTGTATTCCCCGAAGCAGCGCTTCTTGCCCTGGTACGGTGTCAGACCCTCGCCTTTGGGGCGTGCCTGGAAGACAGGAAGCAGACACTGGGTTGGGAGGCAAGGGAGAGGGCATGATGGTGTCCCCATGGGGTACTTGTGTGTGCAGGCACCTTTTGACCCAACCTAGAGTCTCAAGGTCACCTCCGGGACATATGCTGGAACTCCAATCCCTTCCCTCTCAAAAGGGGGGTGGAGAAGGGGACATCTTCAGGGATGGAAGTACCCAACGATTAAGGTGTCATGGAGGGGCAGCTGGTGGTCACGGGGTCCGGTGCACAGCGTGACAGGCAGGCACAGACACTCGAGTCCCTCTGCCCAGCCCCAGCTGCCCACTTCCCTTCTTGTACTCCCAGAGCTGGCTCTGCATCCGCGCTGGACGGCGCATACGCGGCTGTACTCTTTCCCCTCATGCAGAAGCAAACAGGTTGCAAGCTGGCTCCCCGCCTCCAGTTCTCCGCTTAGTGATGTACCTTGTGTTTCCCCCATCAGCGCTCACAGGGGGACCGCGTTCTGCACGACAGCTGCGCAATATTAGGATTCAAGCAAGATGGGGGTGCGCTGACCAGGGCGCGTTTCAGAACTAGTGTAGGCTGCTTTCCCTCCTTTGGTTGTTACGAGCAAGGCCCTAGAACCTCGCAGCAAGCACACGCGTGAGTCTATTTGCAGGATACATTTGTAGTGGTGTAACTGCGGCATCGGTGGGCGTGTCCACTGAGTTTTACAGGCTCCACCTACATCCAGCCGGACACCAGCTTTGCAGCCCCTCGCCTCCTCCCCCCACCGCGGAACTTTCGTGACAGTAACCCCCTTATCTGCAATTTTGCTTCCCACAATTTTATTTGCCTCAGTAGGTTGCAGTTATCTTTGGTCAACTGTGGTCTGAAAATGTCACATGGAAAATTCTACAAATAAACAATGCATAAGTTCTGAATTACTCAACAGTTCTGAGTAGGGGATGAAGTCTCCAAGGGCGGGAGGACGGAAGTCACCCCCCCCCTTTGTCTTTTTTGAGACCGGGTCTCACTATGCAGCTCAGGCTGGCCTTGAGCTCATACTGTAGCCCAGGCTGGTCTCATCTCGCATCGCTCCTCCTGCCTCAGCCTCCCAAGTGCTGGGATGAGAGGCATGCGCCACCATGCCTGGCTGGGAGTCACCCTTTATCTAGGACATCTATGCTCCGGCTGTTGCCTGTTAGTGTGGCAACAGTATGTTCAAGAAGCCCTCACCCTTGGGAGGCTGAGGCAGGAGGATCGCTGAGTTTGAGGCCAGCCAGGGCTACATACTGAGACTGTCTTGAAAAACCAAACCGAAATAAAGAAATGGATGAAATACATGCTAGTTTTGAGTGCCGGGTCTGGTGAGATGGCTCAGTGGTCTAAAGCACCTACTTAGAACAAGCTTGGGAAAACACAGGGACCGCGGTTCGATCCCCCAGCACCACATGCCAGTCAGTCCCGCCCCCTGGTGGGCTGAGCTGGCCACACACACACACACACACACACACACACAAATAAAAAAATTTAAAAAATAAGTGCCAAAACTATTACTCAAGGCAGAAAGGCACTAAATACCAGCCTCTGGTAATCCCCAGGTTTCTGGCACCCATGGAGGGGCCAGGAATAGATCTCCTCCGATAAATGGAAGACGGTGGAGCCACCAACCTAAAAGGCAGAAGATTCCCAAGTAGCTTTGCCTTGTGGGTCTTTTGTCATTAGCAAGAGGGGATTTTCCCATGTATTGAAGAGCCATTTTTGTTTCCTGTGTGAGCTGTTTGTTCATCTTCTCTATGCTATTTTTCCCCCTAATGAGGGTTTGATCTTTTCTTATTGATTTGTGCCTGCACTTTCTATATGAAAGAAGCTAGTTCTATCCTGCGCAGTGTTTTTAGAAACAGCCTTACTGAGACACGATTCCCATATCCCATATCTCACCCACGCAGAGTGGGCGACACAGAAAGCTGTACGTGTATCACTCCAGTCCAATTTTAGAGCGCAGTTATCACAGCCAAAAAGTGGACCTGTGCCCAGTGGCAGTTTCATCCTACTGCCCTGTAGCCCGCAGTCTCACATGACCCGGCCCTCGCCAACCCCTATTCCATCAGAAGCTTCATGTGGAAATACATAGCATGTGTTTTCCTGGGTCTGGCTTCTTTTACCTAATGTAATCTTCTCAAGGTCCATTCATGCTAGAGCGCGTGGGGAAAGGCATTCCATTCATGCTAGAGCGCGTGGGGAAAGGCATTCCATTCTGGAAGGAGGGGCATTTGACCCACGGTCTCACTATATATTCCAGGCTGCCTTGAGCTCACTGTATAGCTTAGGCTGGCCTCCATCTCGTGGCAGTCCTCCTGCCTCAGCCTCCTGAGTACTGGGATAACAGATGTGTGCCACCATGCCTGGTCTTCATCCTGTTTTGACGCCAGATAACATTGCGTTGCTTGGGCAGTCCCTAAGTTTTGGGTATTAGGAAGGAAGTGGATGCGAGCATTTGTGTGCGCACGGCAGTGTTCTGAAAAGTCACAGTAGCAAGGCTAATACCTGAACGCAGGCACGGCCACATGGAAACAGGCTCTGTGCTTCGGT